TCGCCGGATATCCGCGGTGCTTAAATCCCGACGGATACGCCGAGACAAGCCCCAAAACCACCAGTCACTGCTCCGAAATCACCGCCTCTGTCCCCCTCCGCAGGAAGGACCCCTGGGGTCTTGCTGCCCATCAGGCTGAAGAAAAACATCATCTACAAACTGGGGGGTGTAGCTGGAAAATTGGGAGCTTTAAAACTGCTAAAGAGCACGTCGGCTGCTTGACTCCCCCAGCGGCGGTAACGGCGGTATCCATCTCAGCCTGCCGGGTTTGTCCTGTCGCATGGGCCATAAACGGGATGACAGATGGAAACACCTCGGTGATGTTTGTCATCTAAATCACCGCCTGCTTGTTTGCTGGCATCTCTAGCAGCCCTCGAGCTGCCAGGCGATCTGAAGTCGCAGTCGATTCGACTCACGAGATAAAGACACGAGCTCCCGGCGTAGCTGAGACGACGGACTGTCAATCGACGTCGGGAATCTCGGTGGTGTGCGGCGGGATCAGGGAACAGCCTGGATGCAGCACTTAGGAAGGGGAGATGGGCAAAATGTTACCTGGATCTGTGCAAAACAGGGTCGTTTCATCATCTTTGATGAAACTCGGTGTTTATAGGACGTCTCTGTTGTTTCCTTTGTGCCTTGTAAAGATTTTCAGTCTGGTATAAAGTACTTACGGCCCTTTGGTGACAAAGAGCATGTTGGGGTAGGTTTAAATTTCCTGCTGGGGCTGATTCCTAGCAGAAAATCAGGACAAATTCACGTTTGTACCTTCTGGACAAGGACATTGCGGAGTGGAAATCGAGGAAGCGCGCCGAAGGCGGCTGCGGACGGCTCGGAGCTGGAGCCTGCAGCCCTGATGCACTGCGGAGTGCTTTCCCACGCCGGGTGGCACGTGGTTGTAAAACACTTCCCAGCACCAGCGTCTCCGACTGGCGCAGACGAGAGGATGAGCCGCTGCGAGGCGAGGGCACCGCTTCTGCCTCTGCCCGAGGGAGAGCCCTGCCTGGAGAGGTGGATCCAAAAACTGGAGCTCGTGTCTGATTCCCTCGTGTAGCACTTCTGGGGCGTTTTGTGTTTTAATGTATGAGTGAGAGTCTCCCTGGAAAACCCGTGGATTTGGGCTTGGTCGGCCTTTGCCGCATAAAAAGCAGAAGACAGTGGGTGTTCAGCTCTGCTTTAAGCAAAACGTTTCTGTGCTGTAGAGGCGGCGCACAGGTACAAAGTCACCCCTTCTCATTAAATGTACAAGAACTGTTCCTCGGAGATGTCCCCCACTGAATCAGGGGTGTCGTTGCCAGCTGTTCCCCAGTCCCAACATCTGGCGTGCTGTGATGCTCGTGTGCTCACACAGGGGCTTTTGGAGACCTTATTCCCCCAGCTGGGAAAGGAGGTGACAAACTTACTCTTCTCTGGAAACTGCTGTGCTGGCAAAGTTCATCAGTTCCACCCATCTGCCAGCCTGTCTGTAAGCAGGTGCCCATGTCAGGTGTTTTGGGGACAGAAGATCCCTTGTCTCTTAGAGCATGGATGGGACGTTCTGAGCTTCCCCTGGCGATCCGTTCTGCTCTCAAAGATGAGGAGCAACAGCTCTTGTATATGTGTTTTAGCTCATGGAATTGCAGAACGTTCCCTTCCTTACCTGTCTGTGTAGCAAACTGGGTTTTGCTGCTCCTGAGCTGTTTAATTCCATATTTTTCAGCAGTGACTTTGCTATTCCTTCTTTAGAAGCACCTCCCCTTAGCCACATGTTTCTGTTAGAACGAGGAATCCTGGTAACCCAGAGGCTCTCCGGTCTTGTGAGATGTCAGCAGTTTAGTGTACTTCAGTCCTGGTTTAATCTGGTGTTCCCACAAAAAGTGGTGGATAATTGGTTAAGGTTCCCTTGGCAGCCCGCGGCAGGCTGGCAGCGTCCCCGGAGGGCTGTTCACCTGCGCCGCGGCTTTTCGAAGCACCTGAGCTTGACAAGGGGTCACAAAACATATTTTGGACCCAAATCCAGCTGATTTGTTCCCGTTTGGAGGGCGTATGGATGTGTGTGTATGTAAAATGAGATTTCCTCTAGTGATGATCGTTTTTGTAGCACGAGGCCATGGAAGCCGCTGTTCCAACCAGCGCAGCTCTGCCCGTGCGGACGCAGGGATTAATTTGCACGAGGGGATTAATTTGCACGAGGGGATTAATTTGCACG